ATATATATATATATATATATATATATTAGTTACCAAAATTGGTTTGTGAGGAGGTTTACTATTCATTTCAACTTTTCATTTGTAGCCGTTCGATTTCCTTTGCTTCTCAATTCTTTCTTCTTTCTTCTTCTTAACCAACGGTTGAATTCACTTCATTTGCTTTTACTATTGTCTTGAATTCACTTCATTTGCTTTTAGTAATGTCATACCAAAAACAACTAAAGTCCATATAGAATTACAACTCCTATAGAATATAATATAAGTTCTAAAATAAGCATTTTTCTAAAAATAGCAAATTTGCTTCCCGTAATAAAAGATTCTTACATTTACATTTTCTCTCCTAAAATAATTTTGATTAAACACATTTTATCCTTCATAATTTTAAACTTAAATTATTGGTAATTTTAAGTTACATTTTTAGTTCTTTACATAATTGTTTTTATAGTTTTTATTTTTATTAATATTATTTTTTATTTAAATGTTAGTTAATATGTTTTAAATACATTTTTAAACTTTATTTTGTATGTCTCATCCATACATAATTGTTTGCTTCAAAACCTTATTTTATACTTTTATGATTCACTTTGAAAAGAAGTTCTCCGTCGCAATGTGCGAAAATTTCTCCCAAAAATCTTATCCATGTGGAATTATGTTTTTTCAATATACTAGGTTTCAGCAGCATCGCGCGGACGGTCCAAACCCTAGTTTATTATTTATACATCAAACTCGTTTTTATCCATCACTAATCTTATTCTTTTATGTTTTGATACTTATAAGTTGTAAACATTAAATTTTTAATAAGTAAGTGACGTTTGATATTTTTATAAAATAGTTTGCTTATTGATGTTATCCATCACTACTAGGGCAAGTCACCCCACGAAGGCAAGAACGAGTCGCCAAGTTGTTGTTGAGCCATCTGAAGAGCAACCGACTTGTTTGTCACCCATCTTCTCAAACCAAGTTGTGCACTATGCTTAGCATGGCCATGTTCTGATTGTGTTTACCTTAATTTTATTATACTCATGCTTATATATACTAATTAGGGGTGAGCAAACCCAAACCAAGAAACCGAGAAACCGACGAAACCGAAACCGAAGCAAAATCGACGGTTAGGGTTTAAATTTTTTAAAAGCCGAAAAATCGGGTTCGGTTTCGGTTTTTACCCAGAAACCGACCCATCCAACCCGAGAAACCGACCCATACTTAAACCCGACAAATCGCCCCAAGAAACCGACCCATACTTGATTGTTTTTTGGTTTTAATAGACTATTTCGGGCTTTGGTTGTAACTTGTAATAGACTATTTGTTGTAAGACTCATGTTTTTTGAAGTATTTAACTTAAATTTTGTGTTTTTTGAAGTATTTAACTTGTTGCTTTATTTATGGAAAATGGGTTAAAACCCAAAACCCATGGGTTTAAACCCAGAACCCGTGAATGTATGGGTTAAACCCAATAAACCGAAAAACCGCCCAAACCGACCTCAGAACCCGAGAAACCGAACCGACCAGAAACCGATCCTATTGGGTTCTGAAAACGAGAAACCGACCATTTATGGGTTGGGTTGGGTTTGGGTTCAAAACTGACCCATGCACAGCCCTAATACTAATAGAGATGCTAAAATAGGTCAAAATATACCATGCATAAACTCTACCTCTTTGATTCTCTATCGAATCTCCCACAAAATACTGACTTAACAATAAAAATGTATATTTGTGACAAACTGTTTTTTTTAAGTGATATTAAAGATTGGAGATCTTTTACGATCCTTAATATTTTTCATGGAATGAGACATCATAATCGGTGTCATCCATAGGGTCAAAATAACAAAAAGTTTGAGCTAAATATTACTTGAAAATCCAAAAACCCTCCTTTAAACCCCGTCTAATTCTTTCCCAACATTAAAACAACAACACTAGGAAACACCACAAAACTAGTCACTCATTATGCTCGGAAATTTTAGCAAAACCATTTTATGCTCGGAAATTTTAACAAAACTATTTATTCCAATAAACAATTCAAACCATTTTAAATAATAAAATGTTGAACAACTCAACAAAATCCTAAGTTATGTTCTTCCAATAATAGTTTACGCCTTCCTTCTAATTACCTTATGATTTGACACTTTCAAGTCAGTGTAATCTAATGTGTCTATTAAGACATTTTACTTCCTAATCCTTGTCAATTAAAGGCACCATAATCATGTTTCAAATCAATCCAAACTCATTCTATAACACTAATAACATATAATACACATATATCTATGCCTTAATAACTACTTGCTGATCTCCAATTACTGTGACGCAGTAAACACATCGCTATGGTGTGGTGGCATAAGTTGGCTGCCATTGACCGAAGTTAAATGGTCACAATGGCGCAGTGAAGACCCTACCATGGCGTGATTTCGACGCCAGAACACAGGTTTTAAACTTGTTAGAGTCTCATTTCGAACCAAAACTCCCCAAATCACTTGAGAGCTCAATGTTGGCGATTTTAGTGTTGAAATGGAGGCAAGAGAAGCTAGACATGGTGGATTTTCATCCTCTCCACATTAAGGTATGATTTCACCACGTTTGGTAAAATGTGTAGTTTTTGTAGATTGGTTGAATTGATCAACATATAGCTTTATTATGATGTTAATGAGAATGTTTAGAAGCTTTAATCAAGCTTATAAAGTGATTTCCATGGTAGAATCAATCCAATGAGAGTTAGGGTTCGAAACCCTAACTAGTAAATTGATGCATTAGATGTTGATTATAACGAAATAGGTAGTATGGGATGCTTAATTCATTGGTTGGAATAAATTAAGATGTAGAGATTGAGAAGATAGAATTATGATCCATTGAGTTGTCATTTTGACCAAGAGAGTCATTAAGCTCTTAATAGGCTAAAACAAGTATTAAGAAACTTGTATGTGTGTATAAATAGGCCTAAGAGCAAAGAAGATGGATTAGGATCCATTGAGTTGCCAGTTTGACCAAGAGAGTCATTAAGCTCTCAATCTTTCTTTTGATAATGATATATATATATATATATATATATATATATATATATATAT